TTCGATCATACGATACACAAACGTTTGTTATATTCTTACAACATCAAAAGAATGCAATTTGTTGTCCCGTGCTTCGCACGGGTACAATTACTAGTAAGATTAAAAATACTAATTTTGCATAGCTACTGCATGTAAAATTGAAATAAGACAACTTATAGGACTAAATCCCTACAAGAGACCAACATATAGGACTTAATTTGTTAATGTAAATATATAAATCATAATAAATGAAATTAACCTGGATTAGTTCTAGTGGTAGTGTTGATGGAATAAATACCATCTTCGAGAAGCTTCTTTACTATCCATGATCCTACGTAACCGGTTCCTCCGGTTACACACACTCTTCCCTTCTCGTTGTCTCCTCCGGCCATCTCTCTCTCTCTCTCTCTCTCTCTCTCTCTCTCTCTCTCTCTCTCTCTCTCTCTCTCTCTCTCTCTCTCTCTCTCTCTCTCTCTCTCTCTCTCTCTCTCTCTCTCTCTCTCTCTCTCCATGCATCAGCTTATAATATAGTGACCTAGGAAAGATCTTATTGATAAGGTTAGAGTATTATCGGTCCATATAGTGCATGTGTGGACGTAGTTCAATTCCGTACCATGTACTATATATCTTTGTACTGTAATAATTGTTTATTTTTAAAAAATATTTTTTGTTCTGTACTATGAGTTTAAATTTTTTAATATTGCATTAAATTCACGTTTTTCTTGTATCAATCATGTGTCCTGAAGAGTAAACTGCAAAAAATACCCCTATGTAATCTCTAAATAGCAAAAATCCCACTGTGATAAATAAACTAGTAAAAACCCCCTTTGAAATTTAGTCAAAGGCAAAAACCCTCCTGGTTGACTTATGAGTGGCTCACTCGCGGGTTGTACGAATGGTAGTTGATTTTTGGACATGAAATGACGAAATTGACCCTAAAAATGTATTTATATGTATATATATATATGTTATCTTTTTAATTTGAGGGTGGAGAAATTAAAATATTATTAAAAAAACAGTAAATAATTAAATTAAAAAATATTAATTTTTTTTAATCAAATTAAGTATATATAGTTTTAAATACATAATAATGGAACTTAAGTTTTCTTTTGATGTAGGGATAATTTAAAATATATACAAAAATAATGTAATAATAACAATAGAAATAAATTAAAGACCCCATTGTACTTTTATAATTAAGAATTAAGATATAACAAAAATAAAATAATTAAAATATTTAAAAAATATAAGAATTTATTAATTGCAAAATTTCGGGGGTATTTGTGTCTTTTTCTATGAAGTCAACACTTTAAATGAGTAATGAGCCGAGTGTGCTATTTAAATAATTTCACATGGGGGTTTTTGCTAGTTTATTTATCATAAGGGGGGTTTTCGATATTTAGAGATTACACATGGGTACTTTTTGCAATTTACTCTATTATTAAATGATCAAAGTTATTTTAGTCTTTTTGATATGTTTTTCGTAAAATCAAGATACATTTATTGAGATTTTTAATATTTGTGTAGAGCTGAAAAACGACAATTAATTAGGAAAATAAGATAATTACACTACAACATTTATGGCTTTATGCGATGGAAAAAACACCGTAGGGAAAAGTAGAAAAACCGTCGGGAGCATTATTCAGGACGGTTTTCAACCGTCACAAAACCGTCAAAAAAAAGGCCGTCGTATATACTTCCACGTGTAAAAAAACCGTCAAGAATAATGTTTCTCGACCCTTTGAGAACCGTCGTAAATACTCATACATATTTTGAAAACCGTCAAGAATACATTTATCGACAATTGAAAACCGTCATAAGTAGTGGTATATATTTTTCAATATTTTCTTCCAATGAATAACGAAACCTATTAAAAAAATGTATTCGCATGCCAAAAATTATTATAATTTCCCAACACGAACATATACAGATGCCAAAAATCACTAGAATTCCCCAAATACATGAATTGAATTCTTATTTTCCAAAAGTATGCAAAACCAAACTTCGCAAAATTTATCTTTAAAACGACACTTACACGTTCACTTCTAAAGTCTATACATCTCAGTTTAACAAAAACAAGACTTCCTCCCATTGAAAAAAGCACTAGGGCCTGCCCTGCAAGGCCAAAATTATAATCACGTGTTTTATTACCATGACAATATAATCAAGAATTATAATCACGTGTTTTATTACCATGACAATATAATCAATGTCAATTGCAATCACTTTTATCAATGAAAGAAAAATTAAAGTTCACAAAATGAACTACAGAAGACCCTTTTCCTTACAACTCCGAATCGCTCCATCGAACATTTCCTCCAATCCGCAACGAAACTCGAATCCAGTTTCCATTAGCTTTCTCGACGAAAGCTCGGAAAATTCTACAGGTTCTATACCCTTCAACGAACTGCATTGTATATAATGAAATAATCCCGGTCAAATTCATTTTATTATCTAATTTTTTTTCTGATCAAGAATAACAAGAAATTAACAATGAATATATATGATTGTATAAAATTAAACTCACTCTGGCTTTGGTATTCTGTACTCCGGGTATCTAGTCGATAAAAACTCGGACAACTTATCGATTGTAACTCCAACAGCAGAGCAAATATATCGCCCCTTCGCCTTCGGATACTCGAAAACGTGAATGTGGGCCCTCGCCACGTCATCCACATGCACTAAACTTGTCCTCGCAAAATACTTATAATATTCTTCATCCCCTATAAATAAAAAAATTCCAAGAGTGACATATTATTCAAGGTCCAAATTAGTATAAGATATACATATAGCATGTCACAAAGTATAAATAATGGGGGCAACGCCCCATAGTTTTTATATAGTTCAATAGGGGTATTATAGTAAATTTACTACTACTAAAAAATCCGAATTTTTTTTTGAAAGAAATTATTATTCGCTTTAGGCCCCAAAATAGTTTGAGACGGCACCTCCAAGAACACGGAAAAAGAAGAAGAAAAAACGTACCGAAAATCAATGCAAGAGATGCCTTAACCGAATTAGGACAACGATCACCAAGAAAAGGACCGTGTATAAATGGAGGAACGAGTGTCACAACTTCCAACGAGGATCCATTTTTCTCGCTGAATTCTAAAGCCGTTCTCTCGGCTAACGTCTTGGTTATGACATACGATGCTCCCTTTAGACCTAAGCTTCTCAAGAAATCAAAATCCGTCCAAGATTCTTCGTCTATGGTATCTAGATTCTTACAGCTGGCATTGAAGATGACCGTGGATGCACTAGAAGTGTACACGAATCTCTTAACAGTTTTCGAATCGAGAGATGCTTGTAAAATGCCTAATAGCCCACCGATTGCTCTTTTGGTTTTTGTCTCTTCGGTTTCGTTTTCGTTCCATTCCATCGGGTGAGCTAAATGGAAAACTCCAACGCAGTCTTTAACGGCTGGAGTGAAGGTTTCGGGTTTGTCGAGATTTGCGTTGAAAATTTGTAGTCTTTCGGGTGCGTTTGGAAGGTTTTTTAGGTAACTTATGTCTGAAAAAAAAATGAGAGGGTAAATTACAAGAAACCCGTAAACCAATGTCAAATTACGAAAAAGCCCCTTGTGTGTTTGTAATTACTAAAAACCCCCACTGAGTAATAGTACACTTTGGCCTTTGTTTGCTAGAATCAAACATTATATTGAGAAAACTCATGAGATATTAATGACACAATTAATTAGCTTGATAATGGATCAAAGATTCAAACTTTATGTAGTCTTTGACACAATATGAGATTGAATCGTATCGGAAATCGGAAACCGGAATTTCAAATATATTCTAATTCAGTTCCAAAAAAAACCGGAGAAAATCGAACTCTGAATGAAAAATATTATTCCAAAATCGATAAATTTTTTCGAATCAGAATCGGTAAATATTAATCGATCTCCAAATATAGAATGTCGATTGATTTGATCTATTAATGAATATGTAGACAAATGACAATAACTCAGAAAATTCAGAAGAATTTCCAATACCAAACATTTCAAAAATCCCCTCATTCCAAAAAAATTAATTATTTTTTCTTCTTCTTTTCATTCAGTTCATATTATTAATTAAAGCAGTTACAAATAATAAAAACCCTAGGAATTGTAAAAGAAAAACAGTAAAAAAGAAAAATTAACCTGGATGATCTGTTCTAACAGTAGTGTTGACAGAGTAACCATTCTGAAGAAGCCTCATTACAAGCCATGATGCAACATACCCTGTTCCACCTGTCACACACACTCTTCCCTTTTTGCTATCCATTTCTATTTCTATTATTATATTACTAATTATATATATATATGTATATATATCTAGATCAAGATTATTATACAAAAGTAACAAAAACAACTTATTTTATAAATGGAAGTGGAAAGCAAGAAAATGGGTTTTATTGGGCACACGAGATTGTGTGGTTAATGAGACGACAACACATCCAGGAAAGAAAAGTATTTAATTAAAATTTAAATATTTATTTTTATGTATTTATATATAAATTTAAGAATTGGGCTTTTATTAATTTTCTGATATTGGGCTATTTATAGTTGTTGGGCTAGGCCCTATCACACACTAATCTACAAGCCGTCTTCAACTTGTATACTATGTAGTACGGACACTGAAACAGTGGCACGGAGAAACGGGAAAACGGGAAACATTAGAAGTGTAGGAGTATATTTTAAATGTACTATATAAACATAATAATATTTTTTTTTAATAATTTTTTTAATATATTTTCATACAAATATATTCAAAATAAATATTATTATCAACTGTCAATTCGCAATTGGTCATTAAAATCATGTAAA